ATTTTGGTAGGGCAGCCGTCGCTGCCTCACCGGAGACGGTGCGCCCCGTCTGCCGTCCGAACGCGGTGGCAGACCCGCACCCCCTCCGTTGGCGTGCCGAGGCCATGGACGCACCGTGGGCGTTGTCCGACGCAAACATGGTGCGTCGTGTTCGCCGTGCGCGGCAACGGGCGCGAGACGCAACGACAACGCTCGCCGCAGTGGACGTCGGCGAAGTGAAGTCGCATTCTACATCGTGCCATACGGTGCATCAGTCCAGGCATCGCAAACGCGTCGTGGTGGATGTCATCGGTTCGTCCCAGGATGGATCCATCATCGACCTGATGTCCACCAGCACCCAACGGGTTTCGGGCTCCGACGAGAAAGAATAGGGCATGAGAGACGACGGCGCCCTGAGTCCCGTGAGCCGGCTCGTGTCCCATGCCCTACTCTACCTTGCCGGCGACCGGAATAATACTCTGAGGGGCGCAGCTGACCGCCGAACATGCCCAAGACGGAGCCGGACGAGTGGGGAGCGAAACCGAACGAAGCTCCGCTCAAAGATCGCTACGTTGCATCTAACAATATGAATTTGATGTGGAATGCATTTTTGGAGGCATGACCGGTCACTATCCGCGAACTCACCCGGGCGCGCGTCCGCGGGCGTTTGAGGGATCGGATTTGCCAAGTCCGGTTATAGATGCTGTTAGAGATTTAATACGAACTACATATATTAGAATCAATATTAATCATTGTGCGCTTAGACATATTTTAGAGTGTAGATTCAATCATTATTCTTCATATACAATTTATATTAAAATCTCTAAAAAGATTAATATTTAAAAACGAAGGGATTATATATCACTTTGATGAATCAGATTCTAGGGTGCCCTGCGACGTTGTCAAATATTAGTTAGGCGCATAAACAAACATGAGATCAAGACTAATTATGCACAGTTCTTCCGCATCAAATTAATATTGATAGGAAGTAAGAAAGATAATAATAATAATAATAATAATAATACTAGGAAATAAGAAAACGCAAAGTCTGAACGTTTTTCCACCATGGTTAACCCCTGCGTTGCTAAGTGGGCAGCTTTGGCCTTTGATCGCTGGTGTCCCTCCGATCATGAATGCATGGCAGATGCAAGCCCACATGTTACACGGTGACTGCCAAGAGGCAAGTCACCTGATCTTGGTCCAAGGCAGACACAAGTACGCAAAGATGTCGATGGACAAGAGGAAACGAACGTGGACGAGAAAAGTGGATCAGGATGGGAACGCTTAACGGCACGGCCAGGTGCGGGTGTGATCGATTTTGTATAGCACTGTGACCGATTACATGGTTTGGGATTCCAGCCCGACTCAAAACCGAACACACGTATTGAAGGTCCCCTAACCCCAAACCACAATACTCTACCTTGCGTAATAAAAAAGCGTAACGGTTTTGGATAGCGCCGTAATAAAAAAAGGGTTTTGGATAGCGCTGTAATAAAAAAACGGCGGTCAAACACAATACTCAATCTTGCGTAACACAAATAAATAAACCCACAGAGCTCAAACACGCTTCAGTGCACAATGCAAATCGGTTCACAGATTGAAGTTCTATACAAGGTTCCATGGGAACATGTACACAATAGAATGTCCTGTATGGCCAAAATTAAGTTCAATTATTGCAAAGACTGAAGGATGCGGAGATTTCTGACTATGTAAATATAGGAACTAGGACTGGCGAATGCAAGGGCTCGCCACATCCAACACGACTTGGAAACAACAGATCACCCAGCCACATGCTACATGCAAGTCGATGTTATTGCACAGCTGGCTGTAAATTCGGAGACCAGTACTGAATTGCATCGACCAAGCATCAGAGGATTGTGCATCTGCTTCTTTGTTCTGCGGGAGATATCGTGGCCTGTTGAAACCTGTTTGGATCAAAGGAATCCACCCCATACTGCCACAACACAAGGGAGTTAAAAATAAAAGCATTTGCGCTGATTGGACGGTAGTAGTAATAAGGATCAGCAGTGTTATACCTTGTCTCTCATTCTTTGGCTCCATGCATCGTTCCTGATTGGACGGTAGTCAAGATTGGGCACCCTGGGATCGGTAGCAGTTTGCTTATTCACCAATGGCTGACGGACTCCGGACCTCGGGCCAATGCACTCATCATCACTGTCATAATCATCTTGATTGCCTGACTGCACTATGAGGGCTACAGTGAACAACAGTGCCTGCAAAGATGGTGTTAGTGAGGAACCATGGGATGCTTTAGCCTATTGTTACTGATCTAGGGCATCAAATCTGATTCCAGGATTTCAGTTTTTCTGGTAGTTTTTATGTCAAAGATATGGGAGCAACTTAAGTATGGCATGATGAGAGATGTGCACATTGAGTAAAAAAGATAACAGCTGCCACTTCTTTCACGAAAATGCATACACAGGGCTGCACATGCTAGTATGGAATATATAGTGTGAAAAATTAACAAGTCATCAGTAAGACCTGTCATTTTACAGATTACAACATATTCTGTTGATTTTGCTGTCTAAGCTAGCAAGCCTTGATATCATCTAGTACAGCTAGAACCATGACATTTTTTTTGTTGGGGTTTGTGATGATATCCTTTGCAGGTAAGCTGCACAAAACATATTAAGAAACTGAGACTTAATGTGGAAAATCAGATGCTGTAGTTTTTTGTCAGATGCATAGGATCTGGATAATAAAGCAACAGAGTCAGAGATAGGATTGTTATCTAAACAACAGTATTACCATATCACAAATTTATCTCTGCATAAGCTTAGGAATGTGTGACACAACATTACAAGCATATAAACAGAAGCATGGAGCAAGTTTCTGATCCCCTGACTGTTAAAATAACAGTTGATCTTTAATTAGACCAGATTTAGAAGTGTCACAATAACAAGTTACTTTATTGGAACAGATAATAAATCTAGGTTGTTCCACAGATGCTTCATCAAATTACACCGAAGGAAATTGTTCCGCTTTTACCTCAAACACAACAGCTCCAAGTGCGACCCATTTTGCGGTTCTCCAATTTTCTTTCAGGAAACTGTAGATCATGTCGAAGTTACCAGTTTTATCAACTGGAATTACCTGCACAATAAAAATGAATAAACTCGAAGTTCCCAGAGAAACAATCATGAAAAACAAACAAGAGATGAGGCCTACTAACATCTTTCCAGCTATGGTCGAAGAAAATGAAGCATCCTGCAGCAAGCTCTACTAGTATGAACAAAATGATGAGGAATGAATACTTTTCTGAATGTCAAGGAAATCATAACATGCAGATTTGTTACCAATAGCATCGTAAATCAATCACACAATGTAAAGCAAAACATTTACATAAGACTGCATGTAATTTGTTTCTGAACTAATCATACTATGAATATCCAATAAAATTTTGTCTCATTACTTAATCAGAAATAATATCCCACATCATATTACATGTTGATCTCCATGAGAACAAGAATTTATATAGATGTTTTTTTAATGATTGATACCTTGTTACACAGTGATCCATTGTATTATTGTTTGATAGTTCATACAAAATTGACATGCAAGAAAACAAATAAAAAGGATCTCCAGAAATTATGTTAAGGATACAGTGGATAAGCAGCATCCACTCCTAGCTGACGCTCCAGCACAACCGAAGATGGAGGTAATGAAAAGTATAACACCGACGCCTATAAATGCAAAAATAAACCTGCAGAGAACATAAAAAAGGTGGGAAAAGTAGGTAAAGGAAAATCCATAATGCAAGACATTCTCAGTCCTTGGTGAAAAAACAAAGATATTCTCAGCCCTGCATGAGCACTTGCATATAAACTAGATTCGTTCTAATTCTTAATTATGACAATTCAATTCTCAATACGGAACGAAGATCCTATAGACGAGAACAATCACTGACATTAAATACATAAACTAAGATCAGTACCAGGGTACAGTACCCTCATTGCAGTGATATTTTTCTGCGGTAATCCGATTTAAGTCTTTGAAAATAACAAGTACAATTAAATGGATACTACAAGTATTTAAGGAAGGATGCGGAGTGTTAATCACATCAGTTCCATAATAACCACATCAGAGAATCCAAGCACAAGGAGATCAAGAGACGACTCACCATGCGCTGATGAGCTTCTCCGAGGTCCCATCTGAGATAGACACGTCAATAAGAAGAAGCATCGGCCGGCCAAGGTGCACTAGGTCGCCGCTTGGAGGCGGCGCCGGCGGCGACGGAGGCAGCAGCTGGAGCCAGAGCACGAGCAGGTAGGCGCCGTAGCCCGCCATGGCCAGCCCGACAGCCATGAGGACGAGGTTGAGCAGCTTGAGGACGCACTCGAAGAAGCCCCTGCACGCCATGGCCGGATGGATCGGTTGACCGGCCTGCCTCGCGCAGAGATTCGGACGGCGGCGCGCATCAACTCCGGGCAGGGACGGAGCGCCTTACCGACCAGGCTGCGGACCAACCTGCTTTTCTGGATGGATCCGGGATAGGAGAACTTGTGAGGGAGGGGGAATCGAAATTGCCGGCAGACGACTGGAATGTTTGGTTCGTGCACCCGCGATGGATAAAGAAAGAAGGTATTCCGGGAGGAAGTGGGCGCCGTGCGTTTCTCTGTCTCTCTCTCTCTCTCTCTCGGGCCCCCTTCGGCCTCTCTCTTTCTCCCTCTCCTTCTCGTGTGACAGTCGAACGGAAACTGTTACCCGTGTGACAGTCGCCTTAAATCTTGTACCGTATATCTAAATAACTAGCCCCGCTAACACATTTTTCTCAACATGCAAGCATACCACCTCATCATTTAACATGCATAAGAAAAGATCCACCTTAACATGCAACTATTCATATTAAAAATCTACTACAACATGTATGCATGTAAAATTTCATTTTATTATGCTATTTACATTTAGGACTGTGATATTTGGCACAAGTGTACCATATAAGCAAAACTGTCACACATCTATTTCTTTCATTTTAAAGTACCATACGATCCCTCGTTTTTTGACCTGGCCTCTTCCCAAATGACCCCACAGACTCGCCTGAGAAACCTGCTTCTCCCGCACATCACGGGCGCTCACCCCCGAGAAAATTGCCACTTCTTCACGTCTACCACATGATTTCTCCTCAGGACAAAGTTACCATGGTATTTGTATGCAAGTTATCAGGCCTGTGTTGCATAACTTATCGTGCTATTTACATAGAACGTATTAGGTACTATGCTTCAACGACTACACCCTTTCAAAGTTATCACTGTGTTTTGTACACAAGTTATAAGGTCTTCGATGTGTAAAATACCGTGGTACTTACACATAAGTTATCAGGGTATATGTACATCAACCTCCCCCCGGTCAAAGTTATCATGCGGGATTGTACATGAGTTACCAGGTCTATGGTTCGTATATTATCTTGGTACTTGCACCTAAAAACCTAGGTGTGTTTCGGTAGCTTTTTTCATAGGTCAAAAATTACCATGATGTTTTTGCGTAACTTATCACGCCTATAGCACGTGTGCCCTACATGACACTAAACATTATTGTGACTTTCCCGTGGCACGCCATGTGTTGTGTTCATTCAAGAGGCCCACGCGCGAGGCGGGTGTATGTTTTTAACAACTTATATATTTTTCTTTGGTAAAAAAGTTACCATCATGTTTATATTGCAAGTTATCGGTTATGCGGTGCTTATATTATCATGTTATTTACACAAAAATTATTGGAAATGTTTTGAACAACTTTTTCCCGGGGCAAAAAGTTATCATG